ATATTAAAACTATCTTTTTGTCCAACCCTCTTGTATGAGGAGGAAACAATCTACAAACATCAATTATGTATCTTAATTAAACTATGTATTGTTAATGCTCAGACCAAAATCTCTTAGCTTCTTGCTTTCTAATTCCAAAGCTGATACCCCTTTTACTACATGTGTGTGCATGTGTATGTGTCTTCCATAGAAGTTCAGTTCCACTAACATGAAAGACTAACCTAACAGGTGGTGAGAATGTAGGAAATTTAGCTAGCATTCCCAATATTAATGAACTTACTAATAAGAAGTGATTACCTCTGCTTTCTGCTTTCCTTTCTCAATTGCAAACACAAAAGCTATATGCAAAACAAATTTGAATATTTATTCTCATTTGAGGACATGTTCATTGATTTTTTTTTTAGAGAGAGGAAGGGATAGAGAGAAATACATCGATGTGAGAGTGAAACATTGAACGGTTGCCTTCTGCACGCACCCCAACCTAGGGATCAAATCCACAATGTAGGTACATGGGGATCGGGGATCCAACCTGCCACCTAGATATAGTGCCCTGACCAGGAACCAGACTGGTGACCTTTTGGTGTAACATCGATGCTCTAAACAACTGAGCCACATAATAAACTAAATATTTTTAATAATCATTCTTCACTATTTCAAAGAAAGATTTTAGAAACTTCCTTTCCTGCTTAAATTTGAGCTAGATGATATTTAAGATCCCTTTCTCTCTCGATTATAAATATCTAGAAATAGTACTGTTCTCAATAATTATATACTCTATAATAAGATAAATGGACAGGAAAAAATTAATTAGGAAAAATAGTGGCCATATAGGGCATTTATTTCAAATTTAAAGTTCTGAGATTAAGAACAAATATTTAACATTTACAATGAAGCATGACAGGAAAGTTAATTTTTTGACATCACTAAGCTGGAAATGATTTAGTACAACTGTAAACAGTTTGAAGTTAACGCCAAAATGAAAAGGAAATTTAATTTTGTGACAGCTACAAAATCTACAATTATATAAACTGAGTGAAAAAGAAAAGACTAACATTTTTCTATGAGGTTTTCTTTGTTGGATCACTCATGCTTTCATTCATTTATTCTTATCTCAGGAGTCTGGTTGTAAATCTATCCAGAATGTAAATTCCAATGAGAAAAGATGATGAAACAATATTAATTTTCTCCCTTAATGTATTTTAGCTATTGAAGTGTACAGTAGCAGTTTGTTATTGAAAAACTTCACAATGTGCCAGTTTTTAAAACAGTATATAAACATTTTCCCAACATGTTCTAAATTCTCTTCTATTCTTAGGATACCAAAGTCCTCCTTATGATAATTCCTTTTAGAATTCTTTTATGAGGGCTTATATACATATGAAATTGTACTATATATTGCAACTTTAACATCAGTCACAGGACTTCGTGAAGAATATTGATCATGAGAACAAATTATAAACAATGGTTTTAATGTTCTTGCTTAGGTCTTTTTCTTTTTAAAAATTTTTTAAAAAGTTGATTTTAGAAAGGAAGGGGGAGAGAGAGAGAGAGAGAGAGAAACATTGATTTGTTGTTTCACTTACTTGTGCAGTCATTGGCTGCTTCTTGTGTGTGCCCTGACAGGGGGATTGAACCCACATCCTTGGTATATCAGGACAATGCTCTAACCAACCAAGCTACCCAGCCAGGGCTAGGGAGGTCTTTTTCTTTTAAAAAGAATTGCATCAAGGTGTGGCCATGATTCTCTTGAAAACATTACTACACACAGTGATGTACATCAAATAATGAGTCTGGTTCTGAGTATTACATTTTTAATTTGCAGAAAACTATGCAAACAAAGGACTCTGTGTGTGCATGTGTGCGTGTGTGCACGCTGCCTCTGCTCTCCACAGGAAACAAGATGCTAAAAGTCCTCAGAGAGCAGATCCCTGGGATTCTTACTACTATTTTAACTTAGTTAATGGTGACCTGTTTTCAGAAACTGAGGGGCTGACATACTCAATCTTCCTTGGCTGTGTGATAAAGTAGCCCCACCTCAAGTAAATGAAGCTAATAACAAACATGGTGTGTATTGAGGGTAAAATAAAAACTGACCTAATTTGGGAAGTCTTTTGATATGTTTGACTTTCAGTAAGAAAGACATGATAATGATAATGAAAAGGTTTAGAAGACAAGCCAGCTAAATTAAAAAAGGAAAAAAGAGAAGAAAAGTAAATTTTTAAAGAACAGAAAGCTAGATGGTAACAGTTTCTTCAAATACTTTAGGAATCATTATAAGGAAGGAAAGTAAAGAAGAACTCAAAAAATGGATTTGAAACCCTTGAATACTTAGGTTAAATTAAGACAGGGGTTTTCTGATTTTTTTTAGACTTAGAAGACCATTTTTGATACAGAGGGTTCATTCACAGAATCCTTCAAGCTCTGAAATCAGTGAAAAATAAATCATATTCATTAAATTATTTTTAGAAACCCCCATCCCTGTTTTATGGGCACTAGTAGGACTTAACTTTGCCTCAATGTTAAGTTGCTCAGTATAGCGAACTAGAATAATTGGATCTCACCACTTCCTCATATCCAGACTGGCTTTAGCCTTTTTGAAAAGGGAGATCATTATAACCTGCAGTAAGAAAAAGATTCAGACTGAAGAAATATCTCAGGTTAAGCCGTTTCATCTATTAAACTCACCTTTCAGGTAATGTAATCACTAACGAATTGTCTTTATGCCAACAGAAAGGGAATAGAATGATATAATCCCTATGTGAAGAAAGAAGGAAACCTACTCTCTCAAAATTTGAAAGGTATTAAGGTAAAAAAACATTTTACTGATTTGAAAAATTTCTAAATTTATAGAGAAAACCACTTAGGGTCTTCCTGTAATTAAACCTTCTTTGCCCCTGGTTTGGAAATATGGTTACCTACCACACAGAGCAGTGATTTTCAACCGTATGCTGCAAGAATTTTTAAACCTGCAATACCTGACTATTTAGTCAGGGACACTGACCCCTTTTCCCGTTGATTGTCAAATTTAAAAAATGACAACAGTAAATACAACAATATCCGTCCAGTGTGAATGCATCAAAATTATACCTGTTTTTTTTTGTCAGATCAGCAAAACAATATATTATTTGGTGTGCTGCAGAGTTTTAGTAATTAGTTTGTATGCCCTGAAACGAAAAAAGTTGAAAATTGCTTAAATAGAGGAATGTAGAAGTAACAGAGCTGCAACTGAAAGGTACTCAGTACCAGTTAAGTAACATTTGAAATCCAAGAAAGAGGTCAAGAATTCCAAATTCCATGATTGGGTGTTTCCATACTCATCAGGAGCATAACTGATTCAAGAGTATATTAATTTAGGCCTTGCAAATCAAGAAAAAGATTATGTTTGTATATTTTGCAAAGAAGTGAACATTTTGATTCTTTTAAAAATAGGTCGAAAAAGTTCTCAAGTTTGATATTAGAATAGATGTGTGATTTGGGAAAAATGTTTCCCATTTAGTCACGAATATTGGCTGCTGGTAGGCACAGGAAATGGGGGTGGGGGTGGGGGGCAACGGGAAGAATTAAGAGACCAAAACGCAGCTGTAGGTAGAAACGGTACCTGTCCCAAAGTGGGTCTGCACGCCGCTAACGCCTTGCACATCGCTCGTGGAAAGCTCATCTACAAGTCCCAGGATGGGCCAAGAGTGGCAAAAAAAAAAAAAAAAAAAAAAAACTCCTAAAGAGGGAAACAATTGAAAAGGGTTCTCTCCTCCGGAGTCCCGGAGCGAGGGGAAGGTCCTAAAGGGTTAAGTAGTGTTTCCTTCTAGGGCTTGCAAGCTTCAGCACTAGTTTTCTTCCGTCCAGAATCAGTCAGTCCCAGCCTTGGGGCAAATCGAGCCAGGGCTGACCAGCTGCGGGAGACTTAAGTTGCTGCAAGTTCCCCCCAGGATCCTGGTGGCGTTGCCAGTCGTAGGCCCTTACCCCTACGCGCGTAGCCTGCACAACAAACCCTGCCTGACTGAGCCTCTTTCACTCAGATCTTGCAGCGGGTGGGGCCGCGGGGGCGCCGGCTTCCGGACCTGACGGTTGGGAGCTGCAGGACCCTGCGGCTGGACCGTTACCGCGCTCGCTGAGTGGGTGTAGGGTGGGCAGAGAGGAGGGGTGCAGCGAGGTCACGCCCCTCACCCCGCCGCGTGCTAGCGAGTAGCGTGGGTACTGGTGGCAGGGTCTTCCTCCCCCCCGCGCGCCCCAGCGCATGCCGCTCCCGGGGTCTTCAACCCCAGTCCGCCGGTCCCGGCTGCCGGTTCCCCGGTCAGCGCTCGCTGCTTGGTCTCTGGCTCACTCTCTCGGTTGGTTGACCATCCTGATTTGGAGTTCAAGATTCCCGCTGCTCCGCTTGCACTACGCCTTCTCACTGTTTGCTTTCTTTATATACATATTTCACTCCAGTTATGCTATATTGAACCTAGGCTTCTCCTCCTCGGATGTCCCTCCAAGGGGATTTAGGGAGGATCCCGAGCACCTGCCGCGATCCTAGGTGCTCGCTACCCCTTGCCCAACCGAGACACCCCCGGGCGGGGCGGGACAGGAGGGCTGGGTCCGCGGCGGGAGGGAGGGGCTGGGCGGGGTAGCCTCCGGTTGGGGGTTACCCTGGGCTCGCTGCAGCCCAGCCGCTCCAGCCCTCGGGGCAGGTGCCGGGCGAGTTAGCGGAGAAGCGGCACACGGGCGATGGAGACAGGGAGACTCTGGGCGAGAGGAGGCTGGGTGGGGGAAGCGGAGAAAGCGCGCGGGCGGAGGCTGGCAGGGGGCGCTGGAGGCAGGAGCCGCCGGCGCGCTCCTCGCGCCGTAGGGTGCGGGAGGCTGTGAGCCGCAGCAGCACCGGGAGCCTCAGGGGCGAGGGCGACGGCGGGGCTAGGGGGTGGGGGCGCTGCCGCCTTCGGGGCGTCGCCGGCCTCCGCCCCTTTGTTCTCGCGCGCTTCCCCCTGCCGCCCACTCCCCTGCTGTCGTGCAGCGGCGGTGGCGGCGGCTCCTCCCGCCCGAGGCAGTGGGGCTCGGCGCCGGGGGCGGGGGTGGGCGGGAGGAGCGCGCCAGCCGCTGGGAGTGGGGGGCGATGGCGAAGCTCCGGGTGGCTTACGAGTACACGGAAGCCGAGGACAAAAGCATCCGGCTCGGCTTGTTTCTCATCATCTCCGGTGTCGTGTTGCTCTTTATCTTCGGCTTCTGCTGGCTCAGCCCCGCGCTGCAGGATCTGCAAGCCACGGCCGCCAACTGCACGGTGCTGTCGGTTCAGCAGATCGGCGAGGTGTTCGAGTGCACCTTCACCTGTGGCGCCGACTGCAGGGGCACATCGCAGTACCCCTGCGTCCAGGTCTACGTGAACAACTCGGAGTCCAACTCCAGGGCGCTGCTGCACAGCGACGAGCACCAGCTCCTGACCAACCCCAAGGTAAGGACGCACAGAGAAGGATGCCGCGCTCCCGCGGAGGTTTTGAGGATAGAGGAGCCTCGGTGGTAGACCCCGCGCGGGCTGGGCTCGGAGTATGCTCGGGTTATTAAGAGGAGACAAGGCATCGGAGGCTGTACTCAAACCTGCAGAAAGTACTTTGGGGATCCACGGGCCGGTCCTTCAAGTGAATTTGTGTGCGGAGACCCGTTGTGCCCTGAGGCTTTCTTTACACACTCGTTTTGCCTGACCTCAGATTTTGAGGCCTTGGCCAGGGTCTGGTCCGGCGCATACAGGATGGGCTTTGGAGAAATTCAAGGAGCGCAAAGTTAACTTTTCCTTCTATCAGAGCCAGTTTTGTAGCAGGGATCCACCTACTCTGGTCAAGGTTCGAGCAGCCCCTTGAAAGGTGTTAGGAGGACTCCTTGCCTTTTTACTCTAAACAAACGTATTTAAGTTAGGGTCCAAACATGAGCTTTTGAAGGTCGACAAATGATGTAGAATAAAATATGATATTCTGCATAGATCCTTTGGGACAGAGGACTTTCAGTTTTCATAAAATAGCTTCCCCAAAAGGTCTAGGAGACTAATGACTTTATGTATCTGGGGGGCAATTGGGAGCCATTTGGAGAGCGGTAAATTTTACTGAAAATAGAAAACCCTCCGTGAAATGTACCAATGTTCCTTTCCTGGCCACTTTTTTCGTTCTCACAAGCGAAAAAGAAAAAACCTGGTTAGGACCCGAGGGATGGAGAGCAGAGAGAGGAAGACTCAGAAAACGGTTCCCAGTGGAGAAAAAACTTATAAAAAGCAGTGTCCTCAGTGTGTGAACTAATTGAGCTTTGTAGTACACCTGGCTGTGCGAGAAGGACCTTCTTTCTTCTTCTCTTGGTCTCTTTTACTGTTCTTGTTGCTCACCTATCAAAGTGAAGGTGTGCATCTTTTTGAAAGTTACTGATGTTTTCCACCTGTGGGGGCTGTGCTTCAAGATCAAGGAGGAAAGCAGTGGAAAAGGAATCAGTCTTGTGTACAAAGAGCTTTGTTAAATGTGAGAAGAAGAATTATATCAATCCAAAAGAAAAAATGTCCACATTAATATTGTTGATGTATTTAAAATAAGTTTACCATTTCCCTACAGCAAAACTCCTGGTCTGGGTTCTAAACAGTAAATTCTTAAATTTGGGAAATTTTTAAAAAAGGAGTTCTTTTTAAAAAAAATTATGACTCATCTTTGAAAAAGAAGATGCCCCTGCTGACAAATGAATATTCATTTACCTTAAAAATGAAGATAATATATAAGCAGTAAACATACACGCAATTTAGATAATGTTTAAAGTCTTGAAGAAACAGTAATGTTTCAAAGACAAGTGTAAGTTAATCTGCCTAGTGCTCAGAAATTTCAAAAGAAATATCAGAGTTTTAGAAACATCACCCTTTTTTAAAAAAGATTCAACCATTAATATAAAAGAAAGCTGTCAAGCAGTAATGGTGATATAGAAATTAAATGGTAGTATATCATTTAGGAGGTGGTGTTAAAAATTGATGAAACATTGGTAATTTAAGATAGTGGTTCAGTCACTAATAAATTGCAGGCACATATATGAGTAAATGGCTAATATCTAATCAAGACATTGAAAAGTTAGAATTTGCTTCAAAAAGGCTGTTTCCCAGTTTTGAAGGATCTGGCAGAAAAAGTAGATTGGGATCATTAGACATAGATTTTCCAATCATTTGGATGCAGTCAATGCTTTATGTAATACTCCAATTTTCTTTATTACTTTTTGTTACAAAAAAATCTGTTTTTTTCCAGTGCCAGTTCAGATCCTAGCAACCATTGTTTTGAAGATATATCAGAACCAAATAACATGGTATAAAGTTATTCAAGAAATGATAGAACTGAAGAAAGATCTGTTTTTTGTTACAGGAAATAATGAACAACATCCCAATTTAGCCAAGGTTCCCCCAGCCAAATCAGTAGATATCTGTTTATCCAAATTGTAATTGCTTTGTAGCATTTATAGGATGTAAGTTTGTTCTTTTATAGTCATCATTCTACTTTTGGACAATTTAAATGCTCAGTTTGGAAATTCTCGTAAGCATTAGTGATGGAAATATTCAACGTGACTAAAATACTGTGTTGGAGTCCGGTATGTAAGCAGAATGTTTCCATAGTGCCCATGCTGTTAGGCAATACCCATTGCCCATCCCTCTTGCACTTGGGCTGCCTACATCTCTTTTTTTCTTACCGTACCTCTATATTGAAGGCACATTTCCCACCCATTCCCTTGTTCTGGAATGTCTGGATTCCCTATGTGCATGGATCCTAGTCACCCAACATTCTCTTCTTCATGACCCACTACCACAAGAAACTGTGTAGGAAATCACTTCTCAGAAAAAAAGAGAACAAGGATTTTCTCCCCTCCTTTGAATTTGCTGTTTTAATTATAGTGAAAGGCAGGGAAAGGGGGAAATATTGCAATACACTTGCATAACTTCTTAAGCCATAGACTACTAAAGAAGGTAGTGTGACTGAATTTGATTTATGACTAATAATTTAAGATATCTTCAAGTCCCATTCAACTTATTTATGTTTTGAATCATATTCTTACTAACTAAAGTAATCACTATATCCAGTCATGTAATAAAGTATTCAAGTCAACTAATTATACAAAGGGCAACGTTCTGCTCTGTGAAGTAACCACAGTGCATCTCAGTTTGGGATCAGCATCCTCTCGCTGCTATTTCCACTACTGTGTTACTTCTTTGTGACTTGTGCACTTTGATCCTTAACTCTAACGGCACTTTAGAATCACTGGGGGAAATTTAAAGAGAAATTCTCTTGGCTGGGTCCAGCCCTCAGAGATTGAGACTTGGTCTTGGGTGTGTTGGGGGCATTAATGGTTTTTAAACAGTTCTGAAAGTGATTTTATGTGTAGACAGAGTCAAAATCACTGGCTTAAAAAATGTACTTATCTATTTTGCAAGAAAAGTAAAATAAGAACCAAAAAGATTCATCATGATTAATGTTTGTGTTTTTAGATCAAAAGGTGTTACCAATGTTACTGAATAGAATAAAAGGAGGGACTCAAGGAAATTCTAAAGGACTAGAGAAGGTCACTTAAAATTATAGTTCATTCTTGAACAGCATGGGTTCAAAATGAATGGGTCCACTTATATGTGGATTTTTTTCGATAAATACAGTAACTGTATTTTCTCTTATTTTCTTAATAACATTTCCTTTTCTCTAGCTTACTTTCTTGCAAGAATACAGTACACACAAAGTATGTGTTAATCAACTGTTTATGTTACTGGTAAGGCTTCCAGTCAACAGTAGGCTAGTAGTCGAGTTTTGGAGGAGTCAAAAGTTATACATAGATTTTCTTCTTTAATTTTCAAGAGATAGTGGAAGACAGTAATGAAAGGGCATGCATTAAAAATCTACACCCAAGGATATGTTCATTAATTTTAGAGAGAAGAGGAAGGGAGAGAGAATGTGAGAGAGAAACATCTATGGGAAACATCAATAGGTTGCCTCCCATACCTGCCCTGATCAGGGATCAAACCTGCAATCTAACTACATGCCCTGACCGGGAATCGAATCTACAGCCTTTTTGTGTGTATAGGATGATGCTCCAACCAACTGAGCTACCCTGCCAGGGCTATACACGGACTTTTGACTGTGTGGAGTGTCGGTGCCCCTAATCCCATGTTATTGAAGGATCAACTGTAGTATAGAAATGATAGTTTTGTTTTTATTTTTTTAAGATTTTATTTATTTATTTTTAGAGAGGGGAGGGGAGGGAGAAAGAGAGGGAGAGAAGCATCAATGTGTGGTTGCCACTTACACCCCCCTCCTGGGGACCTGGCCCACAACCCAGGCATGTGCCCCGACTGGGAATCAAACCAGTGACCCTATGGTTAGCAGGCCAACAACACTGAATCCACTGAGCCACACCAGCCAGGGCTAGAAATGCATACTTAATGCATACTTAATTTTAAATTAAGTATGCATTAGGTGAACTTACACAGTTCGAGACATTTGCTTTTGCATCAATATATACATTTGGTGGCAAAGAAAAGGTGAATTTTTGAAACCAGCTTCTTATATGTGGAACGAGAGAGAGAGTGGATGATTAGAAACTATGTTTTATTTTTTGCTTTGAGTTTTTTCTTTCTCTGATGCAAAAGACCTAGAAACACAGGACAAAAGTCTGTCTGAGAAACCAGTACTGTAAAAGTGAGAGAAGTGCATTGATGAGAAGGAAAACTTGGGAGGAATTAGCAGAGGCTTTAAGCTTTAAGCATAGCCACTGAACCTGGTGTACCTAACTGGAGGGCATTGTGGTTTACGTGCACCTTTTTGGTGTTCTTCCCATCCATGTTGGAGTGTTCCGCCCCTCTCTGCCACAGACACTCCCTGGGTGGACGGTGTATTCTAATATGGTTCATTTCATAACTCCATCCTTGAAATAAATGTTCAGTGTGATATACTTTGAGCTCTTTGGAAGTCTGTCATCTCAAAACTAAATAGTAAAAGGCTAAGCTGAATTGTGACAACTTCTCTACAGTCTTTATTTCTCCATGAAAAAGTGGCTTACTATAGTTTTTCCTCTGTTGACAACATAAATAATTTTTAGTAACTACATAAAATTCAATTCTTACACATCTATTATGATCAAAGAACTGGGCAAGAAACAGGAGGACATACAAAAATTAGTTCAGTCGTTAACAAATACTTACTGCATACCTACTCTGTGACACGAATGTTCTAGGTTCAGACACTAGGATAGAGATCAATAGAAAGCCTCTCCCATCACGAAGTTCACATTTTGGTGGGGGGTGACAGAGAAGAAGAAGGTTTATAATGTAATGTCATGTTAGGATACGTGTGTAAAGCAAATTCAAGCAGCGTAAGGGTATAGACAGTGATGGAAGAAACAAAGAACTGCTGTTTTGCATTGGTTGGTCAGGGAAGCTGTCTCTGATGGAGTGACATTTGCACA